AGATCTATTTGAGACTTGACAGAGAAAACATCCTGCCACTTCCCAAGCTGCATTAATCTATAATTAAGTTCTTCTAGAGTGGAAAACAAATGCTATAAGTAATTCATCCTAGATAGGAATCCAATCATGGGGAAATATTATCAGCGTTCGCATTCAACACTGAACCAGAATTCTAAAAAGGAAGGTACGGGAAACCTTTTGCCAGTAAACATGGGTGAGAAGTATTGAACACTCGCAAAATATTTTCTCGCATCTAACCCCGGCAGAACCAACATGGAAGAAGAAAAGAATACAGGTGGTCCTCGAATTACGACCACAATGCCCCCCCCAGATTTCCGTTGCTAAACGAGATCATTGTTAAGTGAGTTTTGTCCCATTTTATGACCTTTCTTAGTCACAGCTGTTAAGAGAATCACTGCAGTTGTTATATTAGCAACGGGATTCCTCGTTGACTTTGCTTGTCAGGAGATTGCAAAAGGGGATCAAAAGACTATCCCCTCTGACCATGGGGATCCTGCAATGGTCATTAAGCAAGAAAAACAGTCATAAGTCACTTTTTCCACTGGTATTGTAACTCTGAATGGTCATTAAATGAAATTTCCTGACAGTTAGAACAATTAATCAGTGGAACAACTTGCCTCCAAAATTTATGAATGCTCCAACACTGGGAGTTTTTAAGATGTTGGATAGCCATTTGTCTGAAAGGCAGGGGGTTGGACTAGAAGACCTCCAAGGTCCCTTCCAACTCTGCTATTGTATAAGTGGTATGAGTCAAGGACTACCTGTATGTAGAAATTGCAGATACTATACAATTGTGATTGGCATTTCAACATCCTCTAGAATCTAGAGTCTAGATCAGTGTTTCGCAACCTTGGCAACTTTAAGTCCTGTGGACTTCAACTCCCAGAATCCCTCAGCCAGCTGGCTGGGGAATTCTGGGAATTGAAGTCCACAGGACTTAAGTCGCCAAGGTTCAGAAACACTGATCTAGATATAGAGATATCTTACATTTGTTGGCCAGAGAGGAGAAGCCAAGCGACATTTTCCTCATTCACCACCGGACCTCTAAGTATAGTGTTTACATTTTCCTCTAACAAAAAGAAGTTTTCATTGATTACAGTGAATGGCTATAAAGATGCCTGCACTCCACTTTCTTAAAAAGCTCCCCAAAGAACTGCAATCACAGGGCAGTTGAGAAGTCGAATGGATATACACAAAAAACAAGCTAACTGTAGGGTGAAAATCAAAAGGAGAATCTATCCTTCATGGAGCACCTGTGCTCTTTCCCTAATATTTGCCTTGGTAGCCTCTTGGCTTTTTTATCCAGGTCATACAGAGTAGTCCTTGACTTACAACCACAATGGATTTCTGTGGTTAAGGGAGACATTTCTTATGTGAGTTTTGCCCCATTACGCAACCTTTCTTGCCACGGTTGTTAAGTGAATCACTCTGGCTTCCCCATCGACTTTGCTTGTCAGAAGGTGGCAAAAGGGGAATCACACAACCCTGGGGACGCAGCAGCCATCATAAAGATGCACCAGTTGCCAAGCGTCTTAATTTGATCACATGATTATCGGGATGCACACCGGCCATGTGGTCTTCATGCGCACTGGAGCATTGGAAACCCGAAGACCAGCTGGTTTTTGGCCATTTTGGGGGCCTGTTTTTTAGCCATTTTTCAGGCTGTTTTCAGGCTGTCTTTTTGGGCTGTTTTTGGCCCCCAAAATGCCCTAAAACTGGCCTGAAAACAGCCCCAAAAGGCCTGGAAAACAGTCTGTTTTTGTGGCCCTTTTTGGGCCATTTTCCAGTGCTCTGGCGCCCATGAAGACCAGCTGCCCGACACACATGTGCAAACCGGAAACCAGAAGAATAGCTGTTGACTGTGTGCCATCTCTGGCAGGTGTGTCATAGGTTCACCATCACAGTCCTAGGGGCATGTTTTTGCAACCTTGCCAGCCAGTTTCCAATAAGCAAAGTCAATGTGGGAAGACAAATTCCCTGAACAACCGTGGCAATAAAATCAGGCACCATTCATTTAACAACCAACCTTCTTAGCAATGGACACTGTGATCCTAAATCAAGGACTATATGTCATGTCAAAAGGTCAAACGATGTGCACAAATCAATTTGTAGATATCTAATCAGTAAAGCCAGGATTGTTCTGACCGAGGCTTCCCACGACCATGAAGCAGACTCCTTGTCCTGACAAAAATTCCTTTTATTGCTTCACTGTGAATTCTGCTCATTCACATCCAGCAAAGTCTTTCAAGGGAGGATCTGCAAAACCTGGCAAGGAGTCTCGGACAGTCACGAACTGATTAAGCAAACTAATTGTCTCCTGCAAACTCCACTCCCCTTTCGCTCCCCTTTTATTTCCTCTGGGAGGGGCCATTCATTGTCCACCTGGGGCCTTACTCCCAAGTCAACTCTTGTTCTTTAGCTGTTCCCTTTGTCTGGCAACTCTGCGCATGCGCACACTGGGAACAGGCTCCAGCTGTTC